CATTTCTGCAGATCCCCATCTGGTTGTGGAGACGGCACTGAGTAGGATACAGCAGTGCTGATGTGCACACGCATCGTAATAGGACAAACACTGATGCAGGAGCTGATTTTCAAGACTCACCACTGACTGAGATGAAAGCAATCAACACCAAAAACACAACCACCAAAAAAACCCCAAGCCCCTCTGATATACACCTGCCCCAAGAAACTCCGCCTGTCCCATCACAAGCACTATTTTCTCCACATCAGAATCAAGTACCGCCACGTGCCCCCCTGCCAATGATGTCTCCGGTCTGTCTATTCACTACATCTGAACTTACGGTTCACTTCTTTAATTTTCTGTCTCTGTTAACATGAAAAAAACATGTGCTTTTTTTACTTCGCGAGAACAACCTATATTCCTATTTCACAAAAAAAAAACAGGAGCTAAACTCTCAATAAAGGTGTCCTATAGAACCTTTCCTGCCATGTGTTTCTTCCCCACCTCCTCTCAGATCGCCTTAGACAAACCCAGAACACATCACTAATTTACACTTGAGTCTCCATTCCACTATTCTCCCTTTGCCAACCTCTGATGATCCCTTTTTGTGAGCAAGTGATGAGTCTGCTGCATACTGGGGCAGGCCGGGGGAAAACGACCCTGGATTTCCCTCCACACAGATGGCATACTCTGAACACACGGACCTAAACTAACCAGGAAGTGCTGTGAGCACAAAGAATCAAACCTGCCACATTTACCGGGAATGCCTGACCTGTGGGTGCACTACAGAGCTGGGTCAGTCACATCTGACGTGGAAAAGTGAGTCAGCATGACCGCAACTGAATATACACAAAGCACACTGACCACCAGACACTCTTGTTTCTCTGTGTTAAGTTCACACACACACACACACACGGAATCTCTCATCTGAATATGCCATAAAATGTTTAAGGGTGGCTGGCACAAAACTGGAGTGTGTGTCTCAGTAGTGATCAGTTCCTCTAACAGAAAAGGGGGCCACAATCCATTTTGTGCCACCTTCTCTGCAGCTGAGGAAACATTAGGCTACATTAAAATCACCTGGGCCTTGTGTTTGTAACTCCCTACAACTTGGAGCATAATGTGTAGCTTTGTATTTATTTTCTTCTTTGCTTTTGGACATGGACTGCCAACTCCCAGAATCAAGAAATAAAATGAAAAAACCCATGCACCAAGTAGATATGCGCTTAAATTGCCTGAAAGAAGCATGCACAACACCAGAATTTTAAAGGCTCCTACTGTGGAAGACACTCTCATTAGTATTTTATGTCACCACCCTTTTTATCCATCTAACCAATTCTGCCCCTCACCACGGTCATCAGGATATAAGGTAATGTTATAAAGACAAAGGGAAACTTGTATCATTTATCCAGACAATGGCTTTCTCAGAGCATCTGACTCTTAGCACACACGTCTTGTTTTTCAATGGTTGCATCACTTATGTGCTTAGAAATGAAGCGTTTTCCTGTGGTGCGGCTGGTGCTACACAGGGCTGTGTCATCTGATTTACTGAAAATGTCTGTATTCAAGAGGACGCTGTTGACCTATGCTGAAGACATCGGCCATTAGTACCCCAAGGTAGTCATTATCCACTACTCCTAGACATCTGTAAGCTAATGTCTGGGATAGTTTCATGGGGATATTTTTAACCTTTCAATTGCAATGTAACACATGTGTAGAAAACGCCCTGCACTAAAATTTAGAGCCCAATCCATTTGTACCATACAAACACATCAACTTATTAACACACAGATCAATATGCAAATGTTACAAGCTTCCAAAACCACCCACTTGTCTTGTTTCCATGAGCATCTCTCATGTGACTTTGTTACCGATGAAGATCACAGGTTAGTGACTTTAGAACAGACATGGCCGAGGCAATTTCAACATGGAATTGACTGGCAGGTCTGGAACCCTGTGTCTACCACAATGTAATTACATCCTAACGTAGCCATTACTGCAAATGACCTATATGCCAAATTTGACCAAACCCTGGGTCACTACATGGACACAAGATTATTCCAAAGTAATAACATCACTCAAAGTCTGTTTTCTCTTAATATCGAACTATTCAAAATCAGTAATAAAAACCAGCAGAAGCCTGTTTGTAAATTAAGCGATGCCTTTTTAAATAATCCACAATTCAACATAGAACATACTTGATTAATAACTTATACTTACAAAAGGAAAGAAAAGCTGCAAAATGCCAAACTTCAGCTAAAGAAGCTGAAAAGTCCCTACAGGTAAATTTACAGTAAAAAGTAACAACTGGAAAAGGTGCCAAATGCATATATTACACACTTTCCAATAATGTAAATAATGAAAAACAAAATCCAATTCCAGAGAAGTACAAGAAGAAACTTTATGAGGTTATTAACAGAAATCAGCAAAATAATAGATGTGAATACAAACGTTAAAAAACAACAAAAGTTAATTGAAATAATTAATATGACTGAAACCCTCCACATCAGACTGAGAGATAACACAAAATATTAACATATGAAAGACACGATGGGCAGTGTTTGCAAAGCAGCTGAAGTAGACCCCAGAGGAAGGCTCTCAACCTGGCCACTCCACCATGTCTGCACCCATGCTACTGCAGGCGATGACACGGCCGCCCACCCAGGGTGTGTTACGTGTGCTTCCATAGGCTGTTACACTCGGCGAATTGAGACAGTGGCCCAACTACATGACTCCCTGAGTCTACGAATGATAATATGCAAACATGGGCTTGTGAAAATATGCTTTTTAAGTAAAAAATGCCTCACTGTTCCCAGCAACCATCAGCCTGCCCAAAGTTTTCTGAATGACCCAAGCTCCAGAGTATATTTCAATATTTGACAGAGTAAAATTTTGTCTTGGATCTGTGACTTTTTAAAAGTTGTGACCGAATTCTTTAAAATTACCTTCTATGGTTGTAGAGAATAAATGGAATTAACAGTGTATAATAAATTCACACAAAAATAAATTCGAACTATGCAGATTTTATGAAAGAACTTCTCCAAGAAAAAGTTTACCAACCCTAAGGGCACTGATCGCTGATGCCGACAGACCCCTGCCCCCAACAGCATCCGCCATTTGTGCACGGGCCCCTCCAGCATGCTTCAAGTTTTACTCACAAACACTGACATGGTATTTCTGGCTCCCACCAAGTGATACCTCCAACACATCCCTTTCTATACACTGTTTACAGCCACAAACAGTACAGACATTTGAAGAATTTTGTGTTTCAAATAAACATTGCAACTACACTCCCTAAGCAGTTGCCCTGTGTTCTATTCTTTTGTCATTGTGCTCGAGTTCTGATCACACCGCATCTTCAACAGCACTAGAGGGTGTCAATCCTTGTTACGTGTTCTAATGGAAGTTTACTGGGGTGCCACTGGTCAGTAAGATTATACCGGGTTCCAGTGCACAATTCCATGACATGCCATCTCTGTGTCACTGCATCGTGTGCCCACTGCGCACTCCAAGCATCTTCCATCACCGCAGGTGTGACCCCCTTCACTCTTGACCATCCCACCCCCTTCGCTCCAGTCACCGCCACTCTCTAGTCTGTGTCAATGAGCTCTCCACAGAACTGTCAATGAGACTAAAGGCAACCAACCCAATGGGAGAACACATTTCCAAATGAAAGCTCTGATGAGGGCTTACTATCCAAACTACCTGAAGAACCCATCCAACTCACCACCCAAACCCTCCAACAACTCACAATTCAATTAAAAACAGGCAGAAAACCTGAAAAGACGTCTCTCTCCAGAAGCCATACAAACATCCAACATATATACCAAGAGATGCTCAATTTCACGAGGGACACGCAAATCCAAACCACAAATGAGATGCCACCTCCCACCTGTTAGAATGGCTGTTACCAACCAGACAAGTACTAGCAAGTGGTGGAGACGTTGTGGAGAGAAAGAACCCCGTTCACTGCTGGTGGGAAGGCGGATTGGGGCAGCCAACACAGAACACAGCCTGGAGGGTCCTCAAAAAATAAAGAATACAGTTACCGTTATGACTCAGCATCCCCTCTTCTGGGCATCTACCTGAAAAATTTGAAAACACTTAGTCACAAAAATACATGCACCCTATGTTCATTGCACCATTATTCACAATGGCCAAAACATGGAGACAACCACAGTGACCTTGGACAGAGGACTGGATGAAGCAGATGTGAAAAGTACTCAGCCACGAGAAAAGATGAGATACTACCATTTGCAACAACATGGATGGACTCGAGAATATCATGCTGAGCAAAATCAGTTAGAAAAAGCCAATTACCATATGCTGTGACTCACACAAGATATAGATTGACAGCAACAAAGGAACGAACATGGAAATCAAACACGCATCTTTTCCCAGACATAAGATATGTCACATATCACATCATACAGAAACCACATGACTTACCACGCTGCCAGAGTGAGAAGTGATCACAGCACGTTGATCTTCAATCAGAGGTGACACAAATATAAGGGCGCCATGGCGTCTCTGCTCATCGGGCTGAACAATTACACGGAGGTGAAACCTCTCATAATATTTCAGCACACTTGCTTTTCCCAATTTTGAATCAAGTTAATAACATTAAATTGCTGAACATTCTCTCAATTCCTACATTTTCCCATCAAAGCAAAAGGAGTTATATTCTAAGACCACAAAGAACTGAAATTGATACTGCTGTCATCATTTGATACAGGCAGGCAGTATTCCCTTGTTGTTTACTTCATCACACTTCCTTGTACCCTGCTCAATTCAGTAATTTCAACCACGATTCCAGAAGGTATTCCCTGTAAACACGTATCTCTCCTGCAACTCTCCGTTCCCAGGGAACTACCTGCAGCCAGTCCTGGGTCACTGCGCACACCTGGTGGCACACATGGCCTCACCAGCTGGGACACTACAGTTGACGCTGACACGGAAAGGTCCTCAAGCAGAGCCAGGCTCTGAGAGTCTCACTGGTCCTGGTTGAGTGCCACTCATCTGGACCTCAGAATGACGTGTGGAACAAGTCCCTCAGCATCCTTAGACAACTGTGCTCTTCCCTGACCCAGACAGGAAGCAAATCCCTAGACACCATGGGCATGGCCGTTTTCACACAGAGCTTTCTGAAATTCCAACACTAACTGTGACACTCATCACCCACCCAGTAAATAAGGTCGCGGGCGGCAGGCTGAGGTACATACAACTGACACGACACTGGCTCAGCAGCCCATCAGAAAAAATCAGCCCATTTATTCTCTAACCTATTGCAGAAAGAAGGCAATCTTTGAATTTTACAGTCCCAGTCCCTAACACTGACAACCAAAATACTTATTTTCCATCAGTGCAGACATTTTAGGCACCTGAAAAATATCAAAGTCTGAAACCCAGTCTCCCACGTATTTTCGTATCATCACTGGTCACCCTCCAAGACACGACACCCACCCACTCACCTTCAACACAGAGGCCACAGCCACCACCTTGCCCACGGGCTCCCTGTAAGACACAATGGGAGAAACAAAGAGTTGGAAAGACTGGCTTCTGATACGGCTTTCCATGCCAAATGAGGGGGGCACCATCAAAGCCAATGACCATGAGCGTATGTCCATTAAAACATGGAATCGATGGGGTGGAAACATGTGGCTTTTACTCAGAAAACTGCCCACTTCCCTGGAGGGAAATCACACTCCCCACCATGGTGTCACAAGATTGTTACCTACTCTGGGCCTCAGCGTGAACATAATGAGCATGATTTTAAAGTCATCCTCTCCTTCAGAATGAAGTGAGTTCTCATCATTGACCCAACGGAGGCACAAGCAGGCACCTGTACAGCTGCACGTGCGCTCACTCACCAGAGATGTGTCCTGGACCAGATGACAGCAAGGAGGGCAGGGATCTGCACATTTCCAGTTCTAGAAGAAGCTCTAACAGAGAGCACCTGGGAGATAGAGGTCAAATGAAAGTCTCTTTTGAGTGAGGTCAGTCACTCAAAACAAGTTAAGAGATTTTCACTACAAAGCACAGGGCAGTGGTCACGAAAGATGAAGACAACGCACACTCCTCATCCACGGCAATGGCTCAGACACAAACACTGGGCGAGGGTATTGTTCAGGGTAAACCACACACAGACATCACAAGGCACATACGATTCTTTCCAGGGTAACAGGAAAGGGCACACCTTGCGTATTGGTAACTTGCTATCATTTAGGCAAATCCCACCCACCATGGAAATGTTAAAGCTGGGGCCTACACACCGGCTGTGAACTTGCACTTCCAAGTGTCCTTTCCCATCTGACCAGATCCCACAAAGAAGCAAACAAGCACTGCCTCACCAGGACACAAAAGAGTCCTCATTCCCACGCAAACTGAAGCCACACTGAAGAGCCAACAATAATTTTCAAGTATGCCAACATCCAGCCGGTTACCTTCTGTGTTAATGCCAAGTTCCACCCCGCATCCTTTATGGCAACCTACCTGGGGGGAGAAAGTGTTAATGGCCCACTGGTGACCTGATACCAGTGAAGCACAAGATGTCAAAGAAACCGACTGAATGCATCTGACTGTCAAAAGGCCACAGTTGTCTGTGGACATGGGGAAACCTCCTGGTTTTGATGAAGCTCACATTCAGTTAGTCCTAAACTCAACAGCGCTGAGCAACAAAGACCTGTCGGAAAAATCACCACTGCACTTCGTTCACTGCATACCACCAGTTTGGTCACTGTTTACATAAAGTTGGCAAAATCCCAATGCTGACCATGGTACTTATCACCCATTGGGGACATGCAAATCGTGGGTAACAAGCTATGCTCCACCTGACGGGACACTTTCAGGGGACCCCACAGAAAAAAAAATCATCCTCTCAGAGTCTGATTCATTACAAATAAGAAAACCTTTGGAGTTTTACATGCCCCATCAGTAGGAACGATAAGCCTAACATATACCCTGCACGCCAGTACTAGGGATTAAGACATCTTCCACACAAATGCCTTTACTGCCTGAAAGCAAGCCTCCTGCTTACATTTAGGTTGTCTCTGGTCTCCAGCCAAGACACCAGACATCCACTCACCGCTAAGGCCACAGTCACCACCTTGCCACATGGTCCCACTGCAAGACACAAAGAGAAAAGAAAATGTTGGAAGGACAGGACTCAAGAACTGCCTTCCAGGAGGAACAAGTGGGCACCCTCAAACACTGGGACCACACCAGGCCGTGTTCCCAGGGCAGTGATCAGGTGGAGGTACATGGGAATCCCCCAAAAGACTACTGCATCCAGAACCCGAATCCCACCTCTGTGAAGGGGAATCAAAGTCCTAATCGTGGTGCCTCAAGTCTGTCACCTACTCTGGGCCTCAGCGTGAACATATTGAGCATGATTTTTAAGTCATCCTCTCCTTCAGGGCAGTGTCAGTTCTCATCATTGACCCAAAGCAGGCACAAGCAGGCACTTGTACACCTGCACACGCGTGTGCTCACCAGAGATGGTCCGGGACCTGAGGACACCAAGGAGGGCTGGGATCTGCATGTGTCCAGTTCTGGAAGAAGCCCGACATAGAGCACCGGGAAGCTGGATGCCAAACAGAAGTCTCTTTTGAGTGCATGACCTGTAAAAAACAGTTAAGTCAGTTGTCTGCATTATTTACTACCTTACTCTTAGGAATAAAGCTAATATATTTTTCTCCTATACGTGGTAATGATCATTCCAAAGGAATTAATGAATAATAGAACAAGTAAATGAACAAACAAAAAACTCAGCAATGTTTACAAGAAAGCAGAGTAAGCCATTTCTAGGCCTTTCACTGCAAAAGCACACAGCAGTGGTCAAGAAGGGTCAACACAAGGCACACTGCTCACCCCTGCCCTTGAAAACAATTAGCCACACTCAAAACCCTGAGCAATATCATTGCTCAGGGTAAACCACAGGACTCCATGAAGTCACACACAACTTATTCAGAACAGAAATACAGGGACCTCCCATTGTGCTCACATATTCTGTACTCTAGGAGAAGCCCAGGCATCATGGAAACCTTCCAGGTGGGGCCTAAACACCAGCCATGGATTTCCACTTCAAAGTTGTCCCCCATACATGACCACATCTGCCAAGCAGCCATGCAAGCGTTTCCTCACTGCATGAAATGGAGCCTCATTTTCACACTCTGAAGTCAAAGTGAAGTCACAACCGTGGCTTTTTATAATTCACATCATTGTGCATCTCAATGTTTAATAGAAGTGCGCTTCCCCCTACATCATTCAGGGCAACTGACCTTACCTGGGAAGGAAACACACCAGTGGTGCAGCTGGGGGTTGAATTTGGAGAAGCAAAACCAAATCAAAGAACCAACGAAAAACAAACTGTCAAAAGCCCATGATTCTCTCAACAACCATGGTGAAACCTTAGTTTTGCCAAAGCTCGCATTCAGTTACCCCAAAACTCAGCATTGTGGGGCAACAAATTCCCACGAGAAAGAATATTGCTGCACTTCAATCTCTGAACACGTCCAGTCTGGGCATTTTTGACACAAATGTTAGTAAAATTCCAGCAACAACCCTGGTATTTATAACCCACTAACGACACGAGAAATCATCGGTAACAAGCTGTGCACCAACTGACATGACATTTGCTCAGGAACCCATGGATAATGGAATTTGGCCCCTCCGAGTCTGATTCATTACAGACAGAAAAGAAATCCTTGGAGTTTGAAAGGTCCCATTTCTAAACACAGTGGTGAAATTTAGCCTGCATCACTACTGAGGATTAACAGCAGAGAAATGACTTTGCTGCCAAAAAACAAGCCTCCCACTAACTTTGATGTTGCCTCTGGTGTCCACCACAGACACAAGACACCCACTCACCTAAAACATTAACACCATGGCCACCACCTTGCCACATGGTCTGCCTGCAAGACATTAAGGAGAGAAGAGAAAAACAAGGAGTTGGAAAGATTCACCTTAACAAGACCCTCTGTGAGGTACAAGGCGGCACCATCAAAGCCCGTGACCACGAGCAGGCCGTGTTCACAGGAAGTGATCAGGTACAGGCACGTGGGGTTCCCACATGAAATTACATGTATTGAGAACCCAAATCCCCCATCTTTGTGGGAAATCGCACTCCCCAAAATGGTGCCACAAGTCTGTCACCTACACTGGGCCTCAGCGTAATCGAATTGAGCATGAGTTTTAAGCTATCATCTCCTTCAGGGCAGGAAGAGTTCTCATCATTGACCCAGTGCAGGCACATGCAGGCACCTGTACATCTGCACAAGCGCACACTCACCAGAGATGATTCTCGGAGGTGAGGACCCCAAGGAGGGCTGGGATCTGCACGTTTCCAGTTCTGGAAGAAGCCTGACATGCAGCGCTGAAGAAGGACAAGAGCAAAACTTTTTTTTTTTTTCAAGTAAATGACCTGAAGAAACAGGAGAAAAGACAACCACCTGAACTATTTATTCCATGAATACTGAAACTGAACTAATGCTTATTTGGTTTCGGTGGTAATGTTCATGCCAATGATGAAAGAATGAACGGATAATAACTAAGTAATTGGTCACACTCAGGACACCAGGCTAAGACTACTGCTCAGGACAAGCCACAAAAGGACACCCTAAAGTCCCACACAAGTCACTGTGGGGAACCCAGGTATCAGGAAGCCTTCCACTGTGCTCACTTACTATATTCTAGGCAAACCCCACCACCACAGAAACTTGCGCAGGAGCCTAAGTACCCACTGTGAACGTGCACTTCCATGTTCCCTTTCATAATGAGAACTACATGAGTGATTCCTCACTGGACACTGACAGGACACATCAGGTGTACTGAAGTATAAGTGATTATACAACAGTGATAGTCAAAAATATGCCCCATGCCAAGCCTCTCACTGTCTGTGCTGAAGCAAACGTCTATGGGGCATCCTGTTGGGGTGTCCATGTTTTGATGTACCGGAGCCACACACTCTACACACTGTGACTGTAAAAGACAAACTTGATACTGTTTGAAGTAGAGTTATGTCTTCCGTTGGGCCACATTCATAGCCATCCCGACTGGCATGTGGCTCGCAGGATGCTGACCTGACATTCCTGGTCAGGGTGACCCTACTGGAGGGAAAGCCCTATCACTGGCAAACAAGTGGCTTGTTTTCAGGGACGCACAAGAGGTCGAAAGACCTGTGGTATCCCACTACAATTACTTAAGCCCGTGAATCCGTAAATGGACATGATGACGCCTTAATGTCTTGACTACACCCACAATGAGCCTCCAAGTCAACAGTGCTGGGCACCAAAGGCCTGTGGGAAAGGATCTCTGGTGCACGTCAATCTCTGGAAGCTATTCTCACAGTCATTGTTACACAGTGTTGGGACATCCCAACACTCACCATGATATTATCATCCATCCAGCATGTGAGACTGTGAGTATCAAGCTGTGTACAAACTTACAAGACACTTGCTCAGGAACTCATTAAAAAAAAAAATCAACACTCTTCTCAACTTTATACAGATAGAAAAAAAACCTTTTAGTTTTTGAGTTTCAGCCCCTAACACTGACCATCAAAACATTTATTCTACATCAATACCAAGGTTTCAGGAAGCCTCCCACTTACTTTCATGTTGTCCCTGGTCTCCATGCAAGACCACATACACCCATTCAGCTTAAACAGTAAGGCCATGGCCACCACCTTGCCACACGGTCAGCCTGCAAGACACAATGAGAGAAACAAGGAGTTGGAAAATTTGGCCGCTAGTACGGCCTTCCATGAGGATCAAGGTGGCACCCTCAAAGCTGACTAACACGAGCATGCCGTGTTACACAGAAGCGATGGGCTTCAGGCAGGTGGGATTCCTTCAACAGAATGCTGCTTCCAGAAATCACAGTCCCCCCATCATGGTGCCAAAGACTGTTGCCTACACTGGGCCTCAGCGTGAACATAATGAGCATGATTTTTAAGTCATCCTCTCCTTCAGGGCCATATGAGTTCTCATCATTGACCCAATGCAGGCACATCCAGGCACCTGTACACCTGCACATGCACACACTCACCAGAGATGGTTCCCGGACCCGAGGACACCAAGGAGGGCTGGGATCTACACATGTCCAGTTCTGGAAGAAGCCTGACATAGAGCACCTGGGAGCTGTAGGCCAAACAAGTCTTCTCAGGAACAATGACCTGGAGAAAGAGGAGAAAGACCTGTCTAAATCATGCTATTACGTCACTCTTTGGACTGAGCTAATGCAAGCTTCCCTTTTTTATGTGACAACGATCATTTGAAAATAAATACATTAATGAATAAAGAGAGAGATAAAAAAAACAAAAAAAAAAACATCCTCCAAAAAGCACAGTATGTATTTCCTCAACACACGGAACCAGATGCTGCCTTCTGGTGTAAAATGAACTCAAGTAGAGATACAGTGGTGTTTTTAAACTATTTTAAACATCAAGGTTTTCACCAACTATATACCATGATTTAGGACAACCCAACTGGAGACAAAACACTACCAATGGCACATCAGCAACCTCATTTTGGTGAAGAGCAAGGAATGAGGTAAAAGAACCAAACTAACAACCAAATTTACAAAAGCCCATGAATTTGTCGATGGACAAGGTGGAATCTTACCATTTTGTTGAAGCTGCATTATTTAGTGTGAAATTCGACAGAGCCTGCCAACCCCCAGCAGGAAAGATTGCAACACTTCTATCTCTGGACTCCACCAGCATGGTTGTATTTTACCCAAAGGTTTGGTGAAATTCTAACACTAATACAGACACTGATCACCCATTAAGCACATGAGGATTATGCGTAACAAGCTGGAATACAACTGACATGACACTTCTTCAGGGGTCAGTGGACCGAGAAAGTAGCCTCCTTAGAGTCCACCAGCATTAGTACTAAGAAGGACACCTTTGGAGTCTGAAGGTCCCGTTCCCAAAACGGACTCATTAAGAATACAGCCAGCTTCAGTGTTGAGGGCAAACCTGCATATAAAAGTCTTTACGGCCTGACTACAAGCTTCTCCCTCCTTTTAGTCATCTCTGGTCTCCATCCAAGACAAACACCCCACTCCCCTTCTACATAGAGGCCTGCGCTACCACGTCACCCATCATCTGCTGCAAGACACAATCAGAGAAACTGAGATGGAAAGTTGGATCCTGCACGGCCTTCCAGGAGACACGAGGGGGCACCATAAAGGCCATGACCATGAGCTGTTCATGGGGAAGAGATGGGGTGGAGGCACATGCGATTCCCTCAAGAAGAGTGCTACCTCCAGAAATCATGGTCCCCCCATCATGGTGCCGCAAAGTGTCACCTACTCTGGGCCTCAGCGTAATCCTGTTGAGCACGATTTTTAAGTCATCATCTCTCTTCAAGACAGTATGAGTTCTCATCATTGACCCCACGGAGGCACGCTCCTGACATCTGGACACCTGCACACCTGCACATCATATGCTCACCAGAGATGTTTCCTGGAATGGAGGACACCAAGGAAGACTTGAGATGTGTGCTTCTCCAATTCTAGAAGATGCCCGACAGAGAGCAAACTGGTAACTCTAGGCGAAACAAAACTTTTTGGAAAATGACCTGAAGAAAAGAAAGACAGCCGTCTAATCTACTTATTCTGTCATTATCAGGACTAAAGCTGATGAATGTGGGTCTCTAACATGGTAATAATCATTCAACATAAAATAATAAACAGATAACTTACATAAAAAAGAAAAACCAAGGAAAGAAAAATAAAAAAGAACAAATAAAAGGCAGACAGAGAAACAATAACAAAACAAGGCAAAAAAGGCTCACGACACTGAAGCAAGCACACACACAATAAAACCACTCCCGTGACTCTCTCTTCAAACACAGTGCATTCGTCATGACAGTGAAGACCACGCATATGGCTCATCTCTGGTAAGTGACAGATAGGTAAGTGAAAAAGCACAGGGCTAGCCTTGTTACTATGAGTAAAACACAGTTAACGCTATGAAGTCACCCACAATTTAAACTGGGGAACCCATATCTGCACACCTCCCATTGTGTGCACTGGCTTATCTGAGGCAAACCTGCCCAACACAGAATTTTTCAAGCCAGAGCCTAAGCACCAGCTACAGATTTGTACTTCAAAGATGCCCTTTGTGTCCGACCACCGCCCAAGTGGCCATGCTAGTGATTCCTCCGTGATTACACACCTGGAGCGCCACTTTGGTAAAAACGAACTGAAATACCACTCAACAGTGATTTTGAACTATTCTCAACACAATCCACACCCCACATTGGGAAAATGCAGGTGTCTACCTGCCATGATTTAGGACAACCTACCCAGAGAGGAAATACTACCAATGGCACATCAGTGACTAGACTTTGGTGAACCACCAAGGGTAAAAAATCAATCCAGATCAGACAAGCTTACAGAAGAGCATGAACAGGTAAGTGATTCAAAGGTGGACAGAGAGCTAGATAGTAAAATGAAAAAACAAAGCAATAGAAGACAGCACAGTTCCAACTGAAGACACACAAAAAACTCACTAATGTTATTTTACCACAAAACACGAGGCACATGTACTGGAAGGTGAAGACACGCATACTGGTCATTCCAGCATTCACACACAGGGTCACAGGCAAACTGCTGGGTGAGCCCTACTGCTAAGTACAGAACACATAAAGACACCAGCAAGTAGCATGCAATTTACTCTGGGGAGCACACAAATCTGGACGCTTCCCATGTGGCTCCCGTGCTATATATTCTAGGCAAACCCCTCCCAACATGGAAACTTTCCTGCTGGAGCCTAAGCACCAGCTATGAACTTGCACTTCAAAGGTCCCTTTCACATCTTACCACATCCACCCAGAGGCCAGACAGGTATATCCTCAAGGGTACACTACCAGAGTCTCATTGGAACATAAAATGAAGTAAAGACACACACAGCAATTTACAAATATTCTCAACATGGTGCCCATCACCCATTATGAAAATGCTGCTGTGTACCTAGCATGGAGAGGGAGACCTAACCGGAGAGGAACACTGCCAATCGGACATCAGTGACCTGATTGTGGTGAAGCACAATAGGTCAAAGAACCAATCAATCACAAGGAAATTTACAGTAGACCACGCATCTCCCAATGGACGTGGTGAGGCCTTGCTATTTCACTGAAGTTTCACTGTTCAGCCCCAAACTCAACAGTGCCTGCCAAGGAAGACCGACGGTAAAATATCACTATGCCACTTCAACCTATGGACTGCATAGGAATGGTTGTTTTTTTTACAAAGTTTTGGTGAAATTCCAAAGTAATTAAGATACTGATCATCCATTAAGAAAATCAGAAGTATTGCTACTAAACTGTGCACAAACGGACCTCATACTTGTTCAGGATCCAATAGAAAAAGATATGGCCCCGCCCAGACTCTACAATCACAAACAGAAAGGACACCTTTGGAGTTTTAAGGACCGACGTATAAAACTGACTTTCATAAAAAATCAGCCTGCTTCAGTGTAGAGGGTAAAGCAGCACAGAAGCTTTTGGTGTCTGACAACAAGCTTCCCCTCACTTTCCAGTAGTCTCTCATCTCCAAACACAAAGCCCCACTCACCTTCAACATGAAGGCCACGACCACCACGGTCTCTCTGTAAGACACGAGAGAAACAGAGTTGGAAAGACTGGCCTCATATGTGGCATCCTGTGATGAATGAGGGGCACCGTCAAAGGTGCCAACCACAGCAGGCCATGTACATGCAGCAGTGATGGGGTAGAGGCATGGGGATTTTTCTCACAAAATTTCCCATTGCTCAGGAGGGAAACAGCACTTCCCCCATCATAGTGTCACAAAACTATCACCTACTCTGGGCCTCAGCGTGAACATATTGAGCATGATTTTTAAGTCATCCTCTCCTTCAGGGCAGTATGAGTTCTCATCATTGACCCAACAGAGGCACATGCAGTCATCTGTACACTTGCACATGCGCACACTCACCACAGATGGTTCCGGGAAATGAGGACACCAAGGAAGGCTGGGATCTGCACATGTCCAGTTCTGGAAGAAAGCCGGCACACAGAATCAAAAATGCTCCAGGCCAAATGAAAATCTGGACTCCTCCCATTTTCATTACTTGCTATATTTTAGCAAACCCCTCCCAATATGGAAACTTTCAGTGTGGCGCCTAAGCACCAGCTATGGACTTGTACTTCGAACTTCCCTTTCATGCCTGACCACTTCCCCCAGGAAGCAAAGCAAGTATTTCTTCATGAGACACACTGCCTGCCTCATTCTTGAGCAAGATGACGTAAAGATAAAACAGAGAGTTTCAAATATTCTCAACAGCACACTTATCACAGTTTCAGCAAATGCAGCTTTCCATCTGCAACAGTGAACGGCAAACCATTCAATGCACATCAGCACCCTCATTTTGGTGAAGCACAAGAGGTCAGAGAAGCAATCAAACACAACTAAACTTACAGAAGCCCAAAGTCTGTCAATTGATGTGGCGAAGCCCTACTGATTTGTGTAACCTACATTATTTAGCTCAAAACTCTACACTGCTTGCAAACTAAGACCCATGGAAAATGTCACACCACACTTGAATCTCCGGACTCCATGGCATAGTTACTTTTTACCCAAAGGTTTGGTGAAATTTGAACATTAAAAAAATTTAAATTAATCATCCAGGAAAAATATGAGGATTATGGGTAACAAGGTGGGATACAACTGATATCCCACTTGTCCAAGGTCCCATGGAAAAAGAAAATGATCCCCTTAGATTCCAGAATTATAAATAGAAAGGACACCATTGGAGTTTAAAAGTCCCATTCCTAAAACTAAAGTTGTAAAATATTAGCCTACATCAATAAGCAGGTCACATCACCACATAAATGTCTTTACTGCTCGACAATGAACCTCCTGCATACGTTCATGTTGTCTCTGGCCTCCTCCAAGACAAGACACCCACTCACCTTCAACATCAAGGCCATGGTCACCACCTTGCCCATGGTCTCCCTGCAAGACAAAAGAAACAAGCACTTAGAAAGACTGTCCTTGGGTACAGCCTTCAGTGACGAACAGAGAGGCACAGCCATAGCCTATGGCGACAGCAGGCCCTGTTCTCAGGGGAAGTGATGGGGTGCAGAAGCGTGGGATTCTCTCAAGAAAAAGCTGCCTCCAGAAATAACAGTTCCCATCAGGGTGCCACAAAACTGTCACCTACACTGGGCCTCAGCGTGAACATATTGAGCATGATTTTTAAGTCATCCTCTCCTTCAGGGCAGTATGAGTTCTCATCATTGACCCAATGGAGGCACTTCTCTGATAGCTGCACACCATGCACTCACCAGGGATGTGTCCCGGAACTGGGGATACCATGGTGGATGAGCTTGGGATCTGCACATGTCCGATTCTGGAGGAAGCCTGAAATGAGAGAGAGCCACAAATGGACTACGTAAAATGAAAATCTTCTTTGGGAAAATGACCTGGAAAAGAGTAAAACACATCCTCTAAACTGTTACTATCCCATCAATATTGGAACTGGACTGAATGTATGCTGGTCCTTTCAGAGCTAAAAATCATTTGAAAAACCAATAAATGAATGAAAGAATGAGTACATGAGTGTATAAATAAATGAATAGCAGCAAAAAGACAGGAACCCATGAGAGGTTCCAACAATGTTGATGCAAGAACATACACAAACACAAAACACAGCCTCTTGTGTTCCACTATATAAAGATATGGGATTTCTAATGAAACTTGAAGACAGCCCAGGCTGCTCCTCCCTGGTGCTGAAAACCCAGGTCACACACCAAACACCAGAGAAGACCCAGTGCTGGGGGTAGAGCACAGAATGACACCATGACGCCCATGGTTTACTCCATGGAACAGATTTCTGGACACCTCCCATTTTGCTCCTTTGCATATTTATCTACACTAATCCCACCCATCATGGAGCTTTCAAGCCAGAGCCTAAGCTCAGCTGTGAACTTGCACTTCACCATTCCCTTCTGAATCTGACCACATCCTTCATAAGCTATGCAGGTGTCTCCTGACCAGAAACACAACTAGTTGGTGATTGAATTTGATGAAGTTGAAGTAACAAGTGAACATCATACAGTGATTTTAACTAATCTCCACCTTGAGTCTATCACTTTTTGTGTCCAACTGAATATTTATCGGGTATCATTAAGGCCACAGCAGAGAGCTGATTTTGGTGAAGTATATGAGGGCAAATAGATTATATACAGTCACATTTTTAGAACCCTATAGTTATTGAAAAGGACAATGTGTAACCTTAATATTTTGTCAAAGAGCACAGTCAGATGAAAACTCAACAGTGCTGGGCAATGAAGGACCATAGGAGAATAATTTTTCCTGTACTTCAAGCTCGGGATGACACCACAGTGATCAATTTTTACACACGCTTTTGGGAAATTCCAACAGGCGATGGTATGATACCCCATTAATGATGTGAGCATTCTCAATAGCAGGCTGTGTACAGACTGACATGACACTTGCTCACGTTCACATAGAAAAATAAAGTAGCACATGTAAGACTCCAATTCATTACGTACAGGAAGGAAAGAAATCTTTGGAGTTTTAAGGCCTCATCCCTAAGGACTGCCAAACACAAAACTGAGCCCGCATCAACACTGCAGGTGACGGGAGGACAGAAGCATCTCTTCATTGCCCGCCTGGAAGCCAGCCTCCCACTCATGTTCGAGTTGTCCCTGGTCTCCACCCAAGACAACAGACATCCACTCACCTTCACCATTACAGCCACGGCCACCGCTGGGCAGCAAGGACTCGCTGCAAGACACAATGTCAACAAAACTAGTTGAAAAGACTGCCCTCATGCATGGCCTTTCATGTTGAATGAGGGGCACCATCAAAGCCTGAGACTACAGCACACCGTGATTATGGGGAAGTGCCGGGGTGCAGGCATATTGGATTCCCTCATAAAACTGCTGACTCCAGAAACCACTCTCCTCACCATGGTGCCATGAGGCTGGTGCCTACACTGGGCCTCAGCGTGAACATATTGAGCATGATTTTTAAGTCATCCTCTCCTTCAGGGCAGTGAGAGTTCTCATCATTGACCCAGCAGAGGCGCAGACAGGCACATGGATGACTCCACATTCAGTACACTCACCAGAGACGTGTCCTGGATCAGAGGACACCAAGGTGGGCTTCAGATCCACACCTTTCCAACAATGGAAGAATCCTGACAGAGAGCACCCTGGAAACCCTAGGCCAACCAAGTGTCTTCTTTTGGAACTTGGCCTGGAGAAAGAGGATTAAGACAGGGGACTAAATCACTTATTCATTCACTCTTGGGAATGAACAAATGCATGTTTCTGCTTTCTGCAGCAATGGTCATTCCAAAATAAAATAATGAAGAGACAAATGAATACAGAAAGAAATAACAGAGGGAGAGACGGAAGAAGGAACAGTAGAGGGAGAGAGGAAGGGAGAGGAAACTGGAATAAAAATATGAAGGAAGAATAAACAATGAAATGAGTCTAAAGAGGTTTAAGACCACTATTGAAGAGCACATCAGCTAAAGCCCATACTATAATTTTCACTGTAAACACGCAGCTGTCATCTTTAAACATGAAGACAAAGCAGGAAACTCATCTCTCACATTAGAACAATGGGTCTCACACAAACACTGGGTGAGTCTTGTTGCTCAGGGTAGAGCCCACAATGATTTACGAAGTCTCACACACTTTACTCCAGAGCACAGAGATACCAGGGCACCTCTCAGTGTGCTCACATGCTATATTCTAATCAAACCACACCCACCATGGAAACTTTCAGCCAAAGCCTACACAGCAGCTAAGAACTTGCACTTCAAAATTTCCTTCCATATCTAACCACCTGCCTGAAGAAGCCAGGCAAGTGTCTCCTTAACGGACACACAACTGAATGCCTCACTGTCATCAAAGTGAAGACACACTGTGTTTCTGAAACGTGCTCAACACTTTGTCTGGCACTGTGGGTGCAGCTGCGTATCCCTATGTGGCATCACTCATGAGAGGAGAAACTGACAACGGCACACCAGCGGCCTGTCTTCCAGGATGCACAAGAGGCCAACAAACCAAGAGAACACACCAAACTCTCAAAAGCCCACAGCTGCATGATACACATAGTGACGCATTATAGCTTTATCAAAACCACATTCACATTTAGCCAAATCAACAATGTGAGGAACAAACGTGCATGGGAAGAGATTTTCACTGTCCCTCAAACTGTAGATGTCACTGATTTGGTCATTTTTTACACATTTTTGTGAAATTCCAACATTGACCGTGATATTTATCTGGCATTACAGATATAAGAATTATGGGTATCTAGCTGTGCAGAAATGGTGCAGGATGCCACAAAAAAAAAACTAGTCCTCTTAGAGTGGGATTCATCACAGAAAAGGTGGAAATCTTTGATATTTTGAAGGTCCCAGTCCTCATGTGCTTTTCAAATACACCCTCAATTATTACTGATGTGTAGGGCAGCATGCCAAAGTCTTTACTGCCCGAAAGGTAGCTTCACAACTTACTTTCATGTTGTCCCTGGTCTTCATCCAAGACGAGACATCCACTTGCCTTCAACATTAAGTCCACGGTCTACGCTCTACAACATGATCTCCCTGCAAAACACAAGGAGATAAATAAGGAGTTGGAAAGTTTGGCCCCTGCGTGCGCTTCCATGAGGCACAAATCACAGGGAAGAGATGGGGTGCAGGCACATGGGAGGGATTCCCTCAAGAAAATGCAGCCTCCAGAAATAACACTCTCCTTCATGGTGCCGAAGATTGTCGCCTACACTGGGCCTCAGCGTGAACATATTGAGCATGATTTTTAAGTCATCCTCTCCTTCAGGGCAGTATGAGTTCTCATCATTGACCCAATGCAGACACATGCAGGCACCTGTACACCTGCACATGTGCACACTCACCACAGATGGTCCTGGACCTGAGAACACCAAGTAGGGCTGGGATCTGCACGTGTCCACTTCTGGAAGAAAGAAGCCTCACAGAGAGTGCATGGGCAAGTCTAGGGCAAACCAAAGTCTTCACTTAAAAATGACCTGGAAAAACAGGAGAAAGACAGCTGTCTAAACTCTCGATTCTGTCTCTTTGGCACTGAAGCCAATACATTTTGCTCCTTTCTGTGCTTTGATCACTGAAAAAATGCATGCCCAAATAGGTAAGTAAATAATAGAGTAAGAACCAAGTGAAAACTCAACAACTTTCATTTTAAAACTCATGCATAAAAAACTAATCCTAAGATTCATTATAGAAACACACAGAACTTGTCATGAAAAGGTGAAGACGATGCATTTTCTTATCCCTGGTGTTAAAACAATCCTCCAGGGAAAACAATGGGTAAGCCAATTGCTCAGGAAAGATCACAGAATGACACCATGGAGTCACATGATTCTTGTTCCAGGGAACATGGATATCAGCACACCTGTGTGGCTCACTTGCTATATCCTAGGCAAAAAATTCCCAACATGGATATTTTCAAATGGGAGCCCAAGCACTAGGTACAAACTTGCACTTCAAAGGTCCCTTTCATATATGATCACATCCCCCCAAAAGCCATGCAGAAGTATCCTCAATCGCACAAAAATGGAGCGTAAGTTCCATGAACATCGAAGTCGAGCAAAGATACAACAGGGATTTGGAAATACTCTCAACGTGGTGCCCATCATCCGTTGAGAAATGTGGAAATCTACGTAGTATGGCTGAAGGAAACCTAACTGGAGAGGAAACACTATCAGTGGCAAACCACCCACCTGACTTTCGTGAAACTAAGAGGCCCAAAGATCCAATTGAGGACAACCAAACTCACAGAATCCCACAAATCTGTCAGTGGACATGGTGAAGCCTTATTGTTTTGTTGAAGCTACACTATTTAGTCCAAAACTCAGTAGTGCCTACCACAAAGGCTCACAGGAAAACAGCAATGTAGCCCTTCAACTGCTGGACTCCTTACAATGGTTATTTTTACATGAATTTGGTGAAATTCTAACACTAAGCAAGATATTGATCATCTGGAAAGCATGAGGATTCTGGGATATAATTGACATCACACTTCTTCAGGGTCCCATGGAAAAAAAATGGCCCCCTCGGAGTCCAGTGTTATAAATTGGAAGCATACCTTTGGAATTTAAAGGTCCCATTCCGACAACTGAAAGTTGTAAAAAATGCAGCCGCCTTTAATACTGACATTAAAGCAGTACTGAAAAACATCATTACTGCCTCAAAATAAGCTTCCTTTTACTTTCACGTTGTCTCTCATCTCCAGCCAAGATAAAGATCCCACTCACCTTCAACTTAAAGGCCACGGCCACCACCTTGCCCAAGGTCCCCCTGCAAGACACAATAAGAGACACACGAAGTTGGAAAGACAGGCCTCGTATACGGCCTTTCATGATGAACAAAAGGGCACCGTCAGAGCCCATGAGCTGGAACAGGCCGTGTTCACTGGAACGATCAGGTAGAGGCACGAGGGATTCCTGCTTGAAATTGCTGCCTCAGAAATCACTCATCCCATCATGGTGACATAAGGTTGTCACTTACACTGGGCCTCAGCGTGAACATATTGAGCATGATTTTTAAGTCATCCTCTCCTTCAGGGCAGTATGAGTTCTCATCATTGACCCAACAAAGGCACAGGCAAGCATTTGTACGCCTGCACATGCGCTCACTCACCAGAGATGGTCCTGGATCTGAGGACACCAAGTCGGGCTTCAGATTGCCTGTTTCCAGTTCTCGAAGAACCCCGACGTGCAGAGCGAGAGCAGCTCTGGGTCAAAGAAAATCTTTTTTGGGAATTGACCTTGAAAAAAAGGAGTGAAACACCCATCAGAAACATTTCTTCTAACAATTCTGGGAACTTAAGCTAATACATGTTGCTCTTTTCTGTGGTGACGATCATTCCAAAGATGGAGGGAATCAAAGAATGAATAAATGAGTATCTACATAAATAAATAACATAAAGAAAATGACCCAAAGAAAGGCTGAACAAAGTTCACTCAAGCACACACACCACTGATAATGAAAGGTGAACACAATGCATACTGCTTATTCACAGCCTTTCGACAATGGGTCACACACAAAATACTGGGTGACCCTATTACTCAGCGTAAAACAAAGAATGACACCAAGAAGTCACATGCAATTTTCTCAATGGAACACGGGTATCTGGACACCTCCTATCTGTTCACTTGTATTCAAGGTGAAACCTACCCACCATGGAAACTTTCAAGTGACAATCTAAGCACCAAAAGATTATTACTGCATTTTAATCAATGGATTCCACTTGAACAGTATATTTTTAAACAAGGTTTTGTGAAATTCCAACACTGACCGTGATACCCGCCCATTAAGCACATGACAATTATGGGTACCAATATGGTATGTGAAAGATAAAGGGTTTCAAAATAACAATCTAGCCTTTCACCTAAAGGAATTAACAGGGATACAGGTAGAGCTCATTAATCATTGTCAGGCAGTAAAGATAAAACAACAGAAAACATACAAAGAACTCTGAAGGTCTATTTTGAGTCAGGAGCAGATAGCTAAAGAGCCATAAAAATTTGAGGAACAAACTTATTTCCTTCTTGGACCCTTATCATTTAATTGAAGGCATTCTAAACAAAGCAAGTTTCACAGGATTTTACATATTCTTTCTTAGGGCTGATCACCTGGGGAACCCGCCCATTCCAGCACAGGGTGGCGCCTACCACTAGCATTGTTTCAGGCTTAAGTCATTGTTTCAGGCTTAAGTCAGGAAGGGGAAGTAAGGCAGTGAAGAGATTAGGAGACTTCTGGAAGACAGAATGAGGACTCAGGCTATGTCAAAGTGGAGGGACCAGAGTCCATCACCCCCTTTTGCTGTAGTCCCCCAAGTCGTTCCCTGGGGCCTCCCAATGATCATGCCTGTCTTAAGTCGTTGCTCCCTTGGGGAATCTTACATATCATTCACTAAAAGATCAAGCATTGGGGACCAGGCAGGGTGAAGTAAAGTGGGCAGAGGCAGTACTCCTTCCAGGGAGGTAAGCTTTGTCACCCTGATACAAAAGCTACACAAAGACATCATGAGCAATTAAAACTACAGGCTATTATTCCTTACGAACATCCACACAAAATCCTTAACAACATATTGCATTGGCCAGAAGTCTGTTTACTTTTTTTATTTCAATAAAATAGAACACATATTTCCCATTTTCACCAATAACGTTATTAATTTGGATATTCAGAGTATGTCAGCTATCTCCTGCTATTGGCTTTTACTGGGTACAGGCTGCAGGTGCTACTAAATGTCTTCCAATGTGTAACAGAGCCCTACAGCAAAGAATTACTTAGCCAAAATGTCAGTAGTACCAAGAAATTTCACAATCGACTTTTGACACATTTGATCAGTCATAGCACCTTCTCCATACACGACACAAATCTTTTTTTTTTGCATTTCAATTCCATTTTTACCTTTCTGGAAATAGTAAGATACGAAAATGTTGCATATCTTATTCTACCTTCAATATTAAAATGGCTGCACAAAAGTTCAACTTTGATACGTTTTTTAAAAAGCAGACTAATATGACAGCTGTCACAATAAACCTAACAAAATTGTTTTGAATGAAGTTATACACAACTAGGCACTATTAAGAGCCATCATGCATAAAGAATGTAATGGACATTTTTGGCAAATCCAACACTAGAAAACCAAATTCAACACCAAATTAAAAATATCATACGCTATGACCAAGTAAGATTTATTCTTGGGATGCCAGATATTTCAATATATAGAACCCAATGAATCTGATTTACCACATTATCCAAATAAAAGATAACACTTAATATGATCATTTCAGATGTAAAAATACCATCTGACAATATTAATATTCCCCACCCTTTCCTGCTAAACACACTCAACATAGTATGCGTAGAAGAAATGACCCCAACATAATAATGCCACATATGACAAAATCATTGTACACAAATGTGAAATGCTTAAGGCTTTTGTGCTATACACTAGTAACAAGACTGAGATCCCAGCTTATGCCATTTCCGCTCAACACAGCACTGCAAATCTGATTCACAGTGATTGGCTAAGGAGAAGAAATAAAAAGCATCCAAACCACAAAGAATTTAAGTCTGTTTGTAGATAAGATGATTTATATGTAAAAACGACCTGAAGAATTTGCAAAAAAATGTTAGAATAAATGAATTCAGGCAGCCTGAAGGAAACAAAATCAACGTACAAAAATCAGCTGTATCATTCTCAGTGAGCTCTCCGTAAAAGGAATTCATAAAATAATCTCATTTACAGCAGGACCCAAAATAATACACAGGGATACAATGAACCAAGGAAGCAAAACATCTATACACTGAAAACTGTAAAGCGTTGAGGACAGATATTAAAGATACCACCATTACATGAAAATGTGTCTTATGTTAATGAACTGAAAGAACTGGTATTGCTAAAATGACCACATGTCCCAAACAGGTCTTCAGATTCAATGCAATCTCTATCAACATCACAATGACATTTTTCACAAAAATAGAAAAAAAAATCCTAAAAATCACAGGGAAGCAAAAAAAGACCCCAAAACTCCAAGCAATGTCGGTAAGAATAGTAAAGCTAGAGACCTCAATATTCATTATAATGCTACAGTAATCAAAACACGGAAATAAAAGCAAGCATATGGACCAATGACATAGAGAAGCTGGAAAGAAACCCAGAAAACCACGGTCAACTAATCTTCCACAAGGGCACCGTGAGTACAAAATAGGGAATATCTCTTCCAAAAATAGTGCCGGGAAACTGGATACCCACGTAGCAAAAAAAAAAAAAAGAAAGAAAAAATGTGGGGGGGATGGGAAGGAAAAAGAGACGTATATTACGACATGCACAACAAATAAAGTCAAAGACTTTAACAAAGAGTTTAACACCTGAAACGGTAAACATAGGAAAAAAGCACCCTGATGTTGGTCGGGGCAATTTTTTTTTTTTGGATAGGACACCAAAAGCAAAACTGAACAACTGGCCTACACAGCAACGGAAACAATAAACACGATGAAAAAGCAATATACGGTATGGTAAAATATATACACGCGTGTGGCCCATCAAGGTGGTGGCACAGGTAGACTTGGACCTCGCCTCCTCACAAGAATACATCAAATGTACGTGAGTATTTCAAGAAAAATCCCAGAGAGGCACTGTAGCCCAGCAAACGCGGCACAATAACCAACTGACTGACCTCACCTAGAGAAGGCCAGCAACCCAGGCCGGAATGCACAGATGAGCACAGGTGAGCGCCCTTGTGGCATTTCGCTGGACTTGGATGGAACGTAGAAGCTCCACCCAGGTTCCCTGGCCCCCAGCACGGCGAAAGAACTCGTCCCCAGCCACCCGCAAAAGAGCTACTCCAAGCAACAACAGCAAAGCCAGACCCACCACGTGCTCACAAGAAGCCGCTCACTTGGGAGACCATACCACGAGGTGGTAGCTGCTTTGCGCTCCCTCCTTGCTGCGCACGTCTCGGCTTCCCGAAAAAGCACCAACAGAATACCGCAACACCCACCGACCCGCGGGGCCACCCTGTCCAGCAAAGGTGCGGGAATGAAGGGACACAGCCCTCTCACAAGCATGGCGGCCCCAGGAAGAGGAAGTGAGGCCCCTCTACGCGCCAATCCTGCCGGAACTACCTACCCAGGCCCAGAGAGAGCTGGGAAATACCCAAGAGACCCTGGGGCCACGCCGGCGCAGGAGGCTGTCCGAAAAGCAGGAAGAGGCGGGGCTAGTAGAGCCCGAAACTGATAGCACAGGGTCTACCCAGACGCTGCTCCTTCTGAGGATGTTTTAAACAATAGGGTGAACTTCCCACTTCCTGAAGTGGAAGAGAATCCCGGAGCCTGCAAGGACCAGTAGTGCCCCTCAGAAAACGGACCTAGCCAGGCTCCAAGGAAACCAAAAACCCAAATAGAAATGATAAGAGGCCCCTATGTTCATTACAGCGTTATTCGCCAAAATGTGGGAGGTGACAAGTGCCCAACAATACATGCGTGGATAAAGATGAGGCGCATCTAAAAGATGGAACATGACTCGGCCTTTAAAAAAAAAGGAAATTTTTCCCCTTGCAACTGCATGGATGGACCTATACAGTTTACTAAGAGACATAGTCACGGAAAGACAAATACCATAATTTCAGTTACATGTGGGGTCCACACAACAATAGAAATGAACAAACACAAAAGGAACCGACTCATACCTACTCGAAACAGACTGATGGCTCTCAGAGGGGTTTGGGGTTATACATCTGGGTGTAAAAGGTGAAGGATTGAAAAAGTGAAAATTGGCAGCCACAAAATAGTTGTGGGGATGTAAAGTACAGCATTAGGAATATAGTTAACAATATTGTAGTGACTATGGTGCTGGGGCTACTAAACATATATATGTCCACCCACTATGTTGTACATCCTATACTAATACAATATTGAGCTGTCCCTTAAAAAAGAAAAATCGCTTAAATACTACACAGCACATAAAGAAATCTTTGTAGATCTCTCCAGAGCAGCTGAAAATAAGCCTTAGGTAGCTCATCTTATTTGAGTAAAAAAGATATATATAGACTGATTTTCAGTAACAGGGCTTTGAGTCCCAGAATTACAAAAGGATCGGACCGACATTCTTCAACATGAAATCAAAAGTTGGTATCTACAACATTGGAGTTTGAGTTCCATTAGTAGCCTGACTTTTCCTATTTTCCTTTTTCCAAGTTACTAGGGCATCTACTGTCCAATCTGATGTTTTTATTCTAATGC